TTTTTACAGTACTTACTTCAGAAAAGTTCTCGGATTTATGAGAAAGTTTTTCTGTTACACTACCGCTCTTTATTATTATTACTATACTACTACTACTATACTATGTTTAACAGTCATTCATATTATAAAATTTCTGAAATATTTCTCGAAATTTTTTATATAACTTTAGAATTTTTCAGAATTTCTATATATTTTTATAACTTTTTGAAAATTTCTCAAATTTTTTAATACAAATTCAAACACTTTTCAAAAATGTTTTCAGATTTTACACATATATATATATGACATAAAGTTCATTCACACATTTTTTTTCTAAAATTCTTCTATACATTATAAGGTGTACCCCAATTTTTTGCCACTTTTGTGTAAATAGAGCGGACTAAACTGAATCGAAAAGTCCTTTATCATTTTGCAATTTTCGCAATTGTTAACGAGATATTAATTACTAAAAATTGTCGAATATTGATCTTCAATAATTTTTTACTCAAGAGAACTTTTCGACTCAATTTAGTTCGCTCTATCTATACGCTTGGCAAAAAATTGTGAGACACCCTGTATATGTAATTCTGAAATATTCTGAAATATTCTAGATTTCTCACTGTATAAGTTTCGAAGAAAACTTATAAAATCTAAAGAAGTTTAAGATATTTTTGTCAGAAATCTTTACACAAGAGTAAGTTAAAGAGAAACCTTTGAGAGCCAACACAGGTTACAAGTGGTGTGTAATTATATTATATCTATACTTTATAAGAGATAAATATACGTTTCGATTCTAGTTTGGATTCTCCTTCAGTATAAATAAATATATATATAAATATAAAATAAACTTAATATAACTATCAATCTTGCGGTGTAGGCACCAACGAATAAATTTAAATGTAGATGGGTCTTCCTCAGTGTAAAAATAAAAATAAAATCGGTGACGTATAAATTTAATATAAAAGATGCGATGCGAAGCAAATTGAAGTATCGTTAATGTATATTCATAAAATGATAATAATACTGTCTGTTGTATCAAAATACTCAAATCTAATATTTCAGATTATATATAATAATGTTAATGATGAAGAGATATGTGAGCAGATAAGACATGTTAGCACAAAGACGTTCAAAGAATATGTGATGTATATTCCCAATTGATATTCCCAGTTGAAACGTTTGTCAATTTTTCTCAAGAATAAAATATACGATTTCATACACGCCTAACCTGTGTTGGCTCGCATTGGCTGATTTACATCTATCGTTGGACAAACTTAATATTCTCATAAATTAATAATCATAAACATAATGAATATCGCAGTAAGAATCGTCAAGAGTAATGGTATAAGTTTAAAATGTGAAAAATTTTTTTAAATATAAGATGTGACAATTTTTTTCACTAGAACTGTTATATTATGAAAATTAAATTATGATTCTGTTTAAATGAACAAATTAAAAATGATCTCGCGCTTTTTATGCAGGAAATAAATTATTTCTCAATTTTTTTATAATAAGCCATGACTTGCATAATTAAATTATATTAACATAATTAAATTATCACACAATATATTTTTAAATTATTGCAAAACATCTAAAATTAAGTTTTCATATTTAACAAAATTATTGAGAAACTTAATATTGTTTAAACTTGGAATAATAAAAGTTAATTATTAGGACGATTTGTTACTTTTTCCCACTACATTGCGTAATTGTTTTGGTATTTATATTTGCCGGTCAATAGGTGACTCTAATAAATATATTGTTTTTTATTTGTCAAAATAATATTGTCAATCTTTTATTTTCGTACATACCTTGAATTTTTTTGATCACAAATATTCTTTGCCTATCAAAATAATTTTCACTGTTCTTGAAAATTTCTAATAATAACATATTGAAAAATAATATATGAAAATTAATTATTTTTTTTTATCATAATAAATTAGAACTGCTATATTACTTTTTATGTCATCAAGGCATACAGAGTCCCTTTGGCGCAGAGGATAGCGCGTTGGACTTCTAATCCAAAGGTCGTGGGTTCGATCCCCACAAGGGATGGCACACCTTTTTCTTTTTTTTTTACATTTCTTATTTTTTGTAGATGCTTTTCCATATTTTCTCATATAAATATCGTAAGTACAAAAAATTGGCAAACTCAAAATGTTCTTCCTATTAATTTTAATTATTATATTTTATTCAATATAATATTTGTACGTGATAATACACACAAACGCGTGCCAAGCAAATGCGCGCGCGCACATACACATTTATCAAGTTTAAACAATCTATATCTCGTGATAGAATTCAGCATAGAATTCTATTTATAATTTTATGTATCATGTAACTTGGAGAAAATATTTAAAGAATCAACATAATATATATTTAAAATAAATGTATATATATATATATATATATATGTATATATATATGTATAAACATGAAATGTAAAATAATATAAATAGAATTCTATATTCTAGAATCTGAATTATAGATTGCGAAATATAGATCATTCAAAATAGACTTAAATTTTATGAATGATAAACTCAATAAAAAAAGAAACGCTTCTCTTTCGATCAATTTAGTACTTGCGAAGAAAAAGAATGTCATAAATAAAATATCTAATATTTACTCTACTATACATAACTCGCTCTATAATTTATATTTAAAAAATTTTAAAGATAGATATCTGAGACAAGAAAAACCAAACTGTTTAAAATCTTAATATTATACAGAGGTATATTCTACGACTTTTCCTCACAAATAAATAAATAGCAAAGCTCATTTTTCATTTTTTTAGGTTTGCTAAATAAATTAAATTAAATACAAATTTATTATTCACACTGTACAATGTATATTCCTCCTTCCGCCATCTTTGTACATATAGCAGAATTGTATTCTTTGAATATAATTTTTATTATATTTTACATGTACATACTAAAATCTGATTCCTCTAACATTGTACGTTTCATAAGCAGACTCTTCTTTATGGAAATCATCGTATTCTACTCCAATATAATCGATCTCTAATCTGAAGTGGCCGGAAATATCATCCGCTAACGATATACCGAAATTCGTAATCTCGTGTAACATGACTGGCACCTGGTTATCTTGAACTCTGCCTTTACTCGAAAATACGAACTTGGAGAACGGTATTCTGACATATTGCCAATATGGTCCACCTCTGGTGTAGAGGACATAATGATACATGTCGTTCCAGGTCAAATCGAATATGCCTCTAGTAGAGAGATTCAGTACATAGCATCTGCCATCTCCTCTGATACGAAGTACGAGATGAGTATAGCATGACCAATCGAGATAAGTATCTCGCTTGAAAGATTTTTGTTTAGGTATACTCGTCATGTTGCAATAACCAGCATACTTTATCCTGCCATCCTTGGGTAAACGAGTGCTTATTGTGCCAGAAAATACACCAGTACCAATGGAAGACATCTCTAATCTAGAAAGAAACAGTAAAGATATAGATGTGTAACATTTGAAAATGTCCTGGTGAACAATTTTCATATAATTAATCAGAACACGTAAATTTCAGAATTTTTTAGAATTTCTGATTATCTAATTGTATAACTTTTAAAATATTTCTCGGATGTTTTACACAAATTGGAATATTTTTCAGAAGTGTCTAGAAAGTCTACATCTTTCCTTTTTTTTTTAGAATTCTGAAATACTCTAAAATTTCTAAGATTTCCTCACTCTCTAATTTCTTCTCTAAAATCTTATGAAAAAGTTTAAGGTATTTTTTCAGAAATTATAAAATAAGAAATTTCAGAACTCATATATGAACAATTCTAAGAAAAAATATAGACTTTCTCAGTATCTCTGAAAAATGTTCCAGAGTTGTACCAAAAATTCTGAAAAAAATGTTCACATTTTTATGATACAAAAATGAGTGATATACAATATTTGATACATAAAATTTAAACCTACTTGACTGTTGAAAAACCTTCATTGTAATCACTATCACATGTAATGACCCATTGATTCAATGACTTTGGATCGCCCTTAAATCTCCATACAACGTCAACTTCATTTTGTCTATACGTAAAAATAGGATCCATTCTTAATTTCTCTTTCACTTCTTCCATTAAAATACCAAATTCTTCTTTGAATTGTCGATATCCTTCTCGTATCTTACCAAAAATATTCAAATTTTGTTCTGGCGGTGGTCTGTCATACACTTTTTTATAACCTGACTTTCGATCAGGTTCGTAAAAATATGACAAACTCGAAGTCATATGTAGTTTTCTTCTGCCAATCGCAAAATCTGTTAATATTCTGCTAAGAATTCGCGTATTCATGTTTGTTTGAGATTATGTACTGTTATATACAAAGATTGTAGGTTAGATTATCTTCTATCTCTTTAAATTCATTTTTTCATTAATTTTACAGTACTTTACTATACATTTTAAATATATACAGTGTTTGTACAATATACAATAACTTCTTGTTTATAATTTTGCAGAATTGAAAGATCAACAAGCTAGCTTTAAATAATCTCGGTACAAAATCCCATCATTCTCACGTCTAGAATGGGTATAGATTTAAAAACTTCTTTCTGATAGCAGAGAGCAGCAGAGAGAAATTTGAGAGAAGACATGACGGCCCAAAACCTGTAACCGCAAAATGTTGCCGCGCACTACTGCACCTCTGACAAAGTAGATATAAACTACATAGCAACATCCACTTCTCTTATGGTACATCGTCCACTTTTCAAAAGGGATGATGTACCATAAGAGAAGTAGATGTTGCTATATAGTTTACATCCACTTTGTCAGAGGGCAGTAGTGCGCGGCAGCATTTTGCAGTTACAGGTTTTGGGTCATCCTGTCCTCTCTCAGGTTTCTTTCTGTTATTACAAATAGGCTTGTTCTTTTTGGCTGAACTTTTGCACTAGTTCACCTTTCGTCCTTTTCTCTCCAAGAGGAAAGAAGAGGAAGAAAGATGAATTGATGGAAAAGTTCAGCCAAAAAGAACAGGCTTAATTTTTAAGAGCAAAAATGCAAAATACGATTCTATACGAGCTCTTCTAATAATTTAAAAATATCATATAACAATGCAATTAAAAAATCCAATTAATAACTCAAGTGTCATAGGAAAGTATACGTTTCTACGAGATAGAAATTCAACTAAATAGATATTACTGGATCTTAGTTTAGCTACAACTAACTGCAAATTGTAAGTCAATTTTTCATATAATATTTTATTTTATATGAAATATTATTATATTTTCCAGCATAAATGTCCTAACATTTTTGTATAAATAATTGGAAATATATATAATATAGCGGATTATTCTCTATATAATTTAAAATCACTTTCTAACAACAAAAATACCCAATTTATCATTTTAAATATCATACTTTATAAAACTTTGTACATATATAGGATTTTTTTAGAAAAGTAACTTTTTTAAAAAATGTTAAAATTAACAAAGGATTATTAATCTCTGTACACAAGATGGTAGATATAATAATACAAAAAGAAGTAATATGCATCATCTAAATAATAAATTCAAACATATAATATCATACATATAATGTACAGGTTTAAGTCTAAGATGATGTTCGTGTTGGAGTTTTCTTCCTCAAAAATTTATACGTGTCTTTTGATAATAAATAACTGACACCTCCTGCGATTGTTGTGAATGCTGTTATATAGCATAGACATTGTAGAATCGGATGGTCTATGAAATGGTAAATCGGAGCAGCTAACGTTCCAGCAACCAGAGACAATTGTATCCCAGTGTTTAGTTTGCTTGTTAAAGTCGGTGCTAATTGTACAGTAGCGTGTGTGGGATCAAAATATCTCGCTAAGGTTTTCTGAAATTATACCGCATCAAGATTAATCATTTAATTAATGAATCATCAATATATATTCGGATAAATTAATATATAATGGAATTAATAGACATATGATACATACTGGTGGGGGTAAGGAACGATATCTAATATAAGATGCAGCGGTTACTAGAACAATGTCACGTGCGACAACGAGACAGGTAAGTGGAACTGGTATCAAACCGACCCATGCCAGAGAGAGAAAGAGCGTCCCGACAAGTAACTTGTCTGCGACTGGATCCAACAAACTTCCAAGTTTCGAGGCCTGCGACGTCCAAGTGCGTGCGATCCAACCATCCGCTAAATCACTCAATCCTGCAAATGCAAGCAACCATAGCGCTATCTGTATAGCGCCATGGTGTAGATATTGTTAAAGATAAGTTAACGTGTTACATATTAGTTGCAACAAATAAAATCAATCGAGAGAATTAATACAGTAGATTTTCGATAACAATACATTTGTATTTCTTTTACAGGATGGAGAGAATTGTGGGAAAATTTAAAGAGTTAAAAGAAAAACTTTTTTCGATCAACTTTAATTATATCAAAATATAAAACATAATATATTATTTGCTTGATAGTAAAAATTATACCTTGAAAATAATATCTTTCAAATCATCATCTCAAAATTGCATGCATTTTTGCAATTTCTCTCTAAAGTTACTTATAACATACCTTTAGCAAGCATATCTTTGTCAAAATGTTATATCCTTATTCCGACGTAATTAAATTTGTAGAATGAAGTTTTGAAGTTTTTATTTTACCTCTTTAAATTTTCTTGTTTTTGAGTCCAGTATTATTATTAATAACATACAATTATTAATAATATACAATTATATAAATCATATAATTAAATATATAAATAATTACGTTGATCATATATATATTATTAATAGATTTAAAAAATACTAGAAACTAGATATTTTTTATTTAAATATAAAAAAATTTTGTTTCTTGCTTCTTTAAAATACCTGATAATCTTGCGACAGGATCAAATAACTTAAAAATGGTGAAGTTACTATACGACCCATGCAAAGCAAGTTGGGTATCGTCCAAATATTCTCCCTTTCGATAATTTCTTCTACTTTTCTTTTTGTATGTTTAAAATTTTGCACTAAACGTATTCGCAATGCTTTCTTTTGTGTTCGTTCCTTTGGGCTGATATGCTGTCTGTAACGATTTTCACTTTCTGTGACATAAAATTTGGCTTGGCACGTGGGTATATATCGTATTAAACAGTGCTCTATTAGACTTTTGTTTAAAGTTGCACTGTGTTTAAGTCGTAGGATGGTGGAACAGTTCATAATTAGTTGCTCCTATGAGAGAAAGAATAAAAAAATATTATTTTCATAATAGAGAGAATCTAATAAATACAACTTAATTATAAAAATGAATAATGAAATGTATATTAATACAAAATATAATTTGTTTAATTTTACGCAAATAATACCATTTTTATGAAATTTCAATTCTAAGCTTGATTATTAAAACGATCGAGCAATGAAAATATTTATTAGTTTGCAGAAACTAACCGGTACCCGCTGTTGAGCCTGAAAATATTCAATTTGATGGATTTCTTTTAATTTAAACAAAGCAATAAACACTATTTTTCGTGAATTGTGAAATAATTCATGAAACGTCTCGAACATGAAATATTTGCACGAAATATGCGTACGTATTTTATACGCTCGCGAGAAGCGTAGTTTATTTTTGAGGTTAGATTCGTGGATAATGTTATTGTATGTATCGACCCAAAAAAATCGATTCACCGATCTTAAAAAAAAATATATATATATATAACGCTGTGTTATGTAAATTAAATTTTATTTAGGTGATAATTAATTAATAAGAATTAAAAACATCGGAAGCTGTATTTTGAAATTAAAAATTCAATTGAATCGATTTCAATCCGCGCGAAATTCGTCTATCAAAAAAATTTCATTTTGTTATTTTATACTGTAATGTCTTCGTATTCTATCTAAGTTTATTTATTTGCAATTAATTAATTCAAGATAAATTTTCTTAATATTGATTCAGGAAAGTAATTAAATATAAATCTAAATATTTTAAGGCTTTCTTCAGAAACTTTTATAAATTAAAAAAATAAATAAATTCTTATAGGACGTCCGACGAGACTTTTGCCAAACGCTTTTTTGTAGATAGACCGGACTAAACTGAGTCGAAAAGTCCTCTACTATTTTACAATTTTCGCAATAATTAACGACAAGATATTATAAATTACTAAAAATTGTTGAATATTGGTCTTTAATAATTTTTTACTCAAATTTATCAACAAAAACAGTAAGAAACAAAAATTGTTTATTTTCTTCTCATAGAACTGTCAAAATTTTTTATCAACATTTTACTCCTGCATTTTTTCATATACATAAATATATTGGCAACTATTTTTACCAACATAAGAAAATACGATATTTAAAAATTCTGAAAAAATTCTCAGAACTTTATGAGAAGAAAATAAATAAGTTTTGTTTCTTGCTGTTTTTTTCTGTAAAGTTAATTATAGTATTTGAGTAAAAAATTATTGGAAACTAATATTTGGCAATTTTTAGTAATTATTAAAAAATATCTTGCTAACCATTGCAAAAATTACAAAATGATAGAGGACTTTTCAACTCAATTTAGTTCGCTCTATTTACAAAAAATGTTTGACAAAAGTCTCGTCGAATATTCTGCATAAAAATATATGAGAATTTTTTTACCAAGAATCTGAAAAAGTTAAAGTATTTTTCCAGACATTATAGAATTTCAAAATATTTCAGAATTCATTTATATAAAAAATTAGAAGAAAAGATGTAGATTTCTGAAAAATGTTCCAACTTATCTAAAAAGATCCTGAGGAAAATTTTCTCGATTGTCACGGAGAGTACCCAGATAACATAGAATATTTATGCTAAATATTTATCGTTATTCATTTTTTGAAATGTATAAATATTTTGTACATATGTTGTACATATGTGTATAAAGCTTTATTCAAAATATTATTAAAAGATAAATTAAATGTAATATTTAGTCTAAAACTGCAAAAATATTTACAACACATTTAAAATAAGCCTTATAAACATTTATAAATATTAATAAGACTTATTTCAAATGTGTTGTAAATATTTTTATGGTTTTAGATTGCACAGATGATAAACATGCATTTATTATAAATAGTATAAAATATTTATTGTAAATATTATAGTATATATAAATGTTATGAAAATACTCAATGGAATATTATAATGTAAGTAAAAAATACTTAACCTAACTATATTAGAAATATTTAATCTATATATTTTAATATAATTTTGACTAAAGCTTTATATTTTAATATGCATGAAATATCTATATAACAAAAAAAAAACGACTATTAATAGAAAAAAATTATGATAAATATTTGATACCGCTCCTGTCGCGCACGCGCGCAGGTAGAAGTGTAGAACGGGTAACGGGTTTCAGGGTTTCAGCGCAGCACGTCGCGTCGGTCCGAGCAACAGAGTGCCCCGTACCCCGTGTGCCGTGTGTTGTGTACACCCCCGCCCACGTATTATTTGTGTGTGCGGCTAGCCAGCCCGAAGCTAGCCAGCCCACGCTTTCCTCGGTGATTCAACGGGGAAAGCAACCGCCTGCAACAGATCTCCTTTCCACGCGGATGATGCATTCGCTAATCCGCGAGAAACAATCCCGGGCGCGCTACCGTGCCGCGTAAAGAGAAACCACCTTAATGCGACACTGCGGACGAGTATGATTCTGGCTGGATCAGACCACTTCTTGGCGGGTAAGTCCACTATCTGGCCGAACTTCCCTTTCGCCACAAGACAAGACAACCCTCCCAGTGACTTCAAACACGATCATTCCGTTCATTACATCTTGTGATACTCGAGCGATATGTTCGTGCAAGTTTCCTTTACGATTACGAAATAGAAATTGTCCGCTTGAAAAATTCACAAACGCGCTACTCGAACGGCGGCCTCCTTTCCTCGTCTATTTTTCCTTTCAGTTGGAAATTGGATCTCGAATCGATATTGTTAGCTTCTAACTGGATCATTCCTTCGATATGCGTTCGACTTTTAGGATCGTAAGAAGATGGAAGAATAAAAAAAAAACGTGGCTTTCGAACTCCATATCAGGACTCCTTCATTGGATCTCTGTATTGCGCGAGCAGATTCCCAAAATGATTCCTCCTGAGCGATACGTTTTGGGAGCGCGATGTTTGTCAACGACGATGTTTCTAGAAGATGATTTTATTTATTCACGTTGAGATAAATCAATTGCGATTGGAAAGTTGAATAATTGGAGGACTCGCTGGTCCTCTCGGAAAGCTTAAATTTTTTTTCTTTTTTTCTTTTCTTTTCACCGCGTCTCTCGCATCGCATTCTCGGGGGAAATGTGCGTGTAACGCTGCGCAATCCCGTGTAATCCGCAGGTAGTTTGTCACAACTGGAGCGATAATAAATTATTCCAGGTCATTATAGGTACGGCGTAATATGTCGTGTTAACGCGCGCTCGATACAATGACTATGATACACTCCGATATTTACTGCGGCTAACATCCCAAGTTCAAGAGAGAAAGTATAATACACGAACGATTTTTCGATTTTCCTAATTATAGTTTTCTGAGAAAAGAATGAAAACTTATACGGGAAAGACTATTGGTCTCCTTCTTTTTGAGACTTTCTTTTTATTTAAATTATTTATTTTATTATTTACTTGTTTATTAGCTTATGTTTCTTTCTTCGTGTTCTTATCTATTTTTTATTTATGTTCTTTCGTGTCCATTTTGCTGCACTTTTTTCCTTTTTACTTATTGCTATACAGAACATTCTTTAAAAATAAAGTAGTAAATGTAATGAATAATAATTTTGATTTTTTAATTTTTATTGTTTTTTTAAGAAACGAAAATTTGTACGAAAAAATTTGTACGGTTTACATTTTTGAGTTTATTTTATTTAAATTATTTATTTTATTTTAGTCCGTTTTTTTTATTATTTTTATGCCTTTTAATTTATGTTCTTTTAAATCCATTTTCCTGCACTTTTTCTTATATTGATTGTTGCATTGAAGGTTCTTTAATTAAAGTAATAAATATAATGATTTATGATTAAATAGTAATTTTGATTTTTTGATTTTAAAAATTTATTGTATCATATTCTATTAAAGAACGCATTCGCAACCGTGTTGCATTCTCATTGCCCTTTATTAGTTTCTCTATTTGATTTATGATATGATTTATGACATAATAATTGATGCGACGAACGTTTCCATTAACAACTTCATCTTCAGTATTACAGTAGTTGAAGAAAGAAATAAAAATTTTATGTTTTCTTGTTATATATTATTTTTATATTATTCATAATTGTAACAAATGAAAGCATTCTGCGTTCATCTTGCAATATACTATATGGAAACTTTGAATCTATTTCTACGTATTAATTTTAATTACGCATTTTAATTAATTAACTTACTACACTGCGTGCAGTAAAATGAAGATGTCTTGCATTCGGAAAGCAAATAAGAAGTAAGAATTTTAATGTACTGTGCTGATAATTATGTTGGGGGCGGGGTAAGTACGATATTATTTTATAATAAAAGTAATATAAATGAAATAAGAACGGATTGAAGACTCAATCAATTAAAATAAAATTAAAAGTCTATAAGCCATGCTAAATGTTCGTTACTAAGTTATACTCCGAATATAAAATATAAAAAAAAAGATGTTTATTATTCAGAACTTTTTTCATATTTTATTATTTAAAAGTAATGTATATTATACCTCTGAAGAAAAATTGTACGTATCTTTTAAGAAATTTTACATATTTAAAAAGAATTTTACGTATCCTTTAAAAAAAATTACATCTCTTAAGAAATGATGTTGAATTCGATGGGAATTTCTCAATATGTTTCAGTACCTGTGGAAGCGACTGCAGTTTTGGGTGCCGTTGCCGGTTTCGTAGTGCTCCTGCTAGCTCTCTTTCTTTACCTGTCCCGGAAGTGGTGCTTCACGCCGCCCTCATCCACCACGCTCTTCGGCGGAGTCTGTGTGCCTCTCTGTGAGTCCACCAACAGCTCCACATCTCAAATCTCGAAAAATATAGGTACATGATTTTGGTTTACACCATGGATTTCCAATTCCTGTTTTCCTTGCAAATTTTTATTACTCCAAATACTCCAATTTATTTAAAATTTCATCCCTCTTTGCGATAATAGTTTTAAATCTGTCAAGTAAATCTACGAAGTAAAACATAAAGTCAGTTGATTTATAATATCATTCGTGGTGGAAGTATGAGATATCATTATCATGATATCACCACTATGATATCACTAGTCTAGATTGTCAAATTTTTCTAGAATATATTCTTCGGTTCTTCGAAATAGGAATAATTCATAGTAATCAATATAATTTTACTATTTAGGCAAGGCATTTTCTTATTCGGATCCAGAAACAAGTTCCGATTCAGAGGAAGACGCTCTCCGACGATTAAATTCGCGTTCACTTCCTCCGCCGGATACGTTGACTATCCAAGCGGAGGACGGACCAACGACTATCTTAGGTGAGTAACGGTAACAAAATAGAATTCCTCAATATTTTATATGCAAGTGTTTCCGATTTGTGCACAAAAATTCTGAAAAATTTGTATTGAAAAAAAGATACGTTTAAAAAAGTATGTAATTAACATTTTATATATTTGTAACATATATATATTACTATGTAATATGATATATTATTATATCGATCTTCATACCAGCGTAATTGTGAAAAGTATTATCTATTTTCTCTCTGTAGTGTCTCTATACTTTGAACGTAATTTTTACAAAATTCCATTTTATGTCAGTCCATATACATATATCCATCGCATTGTTATATTAACATTAAAAAGTGAGGGTACTTTATGGATAGTTGTAAAGTATGTTTTTTTATCTGTTAATTATTGTTGCTGTAGATGCTGGGACCACTTCCAGTAGCTGCACTGAGGAACACTCTCCAGCAGATCAACAACAGGTGATTTCTCATTTCTTGTGTTTAAAAAAAATCTTAAAAGAATTCGAATGATAAAAAAATTCTCAGAGACTTAGAAAAAGGATTTGCATTCAGTATGTACGTACATTCATACATATATTCATGTTTCGTCTGTTTAGTGTGTGGTGGAAGTTGGAGCTTCTAGTATTATACTCGATAATCGAGAGCAGGAGATACAAGTTGAGCAAAATGACTCTACGACCAATGACGTCATCACAACGATGGGTACAGTGGCTACCGAGGAAGTTGGTAGTCTGGAAGTCGCTTTCCTATATGATGCTCCAATGCGTGAGATGACAGTTCGTATAATTAAAATGTTTGATTATCAATTTAATATTTATTATTATGATCTTTTTTATTTTTGAATATTCATTTAAATAAAATAAAATTTGAATATAAAAATCTTGAAAATATATCTTATATATTTAATCTTATAACTAATGTATATGTAATATATATAATTTATTTATTAGGTGTTGGAATTAATTCGTAGCGTTTTTAATGAAAGAATGTTATTTATTTCACATGAGCATTAAAAAATACATTAATGAAAGTACTTCCCATCACTTTAAAAACGCTACGAATTAATTCCAACACCTAATATTATCTGAGAAATGTTATTTCTTTTATATTGTAAATAATGAATTTTTAAATTGTTCAATTATGCGGCTATCAAATGGGATATTATTTTTCCAGGTTCACGTCTTACAGGGGCGGAATTATCCTCCTGGCATTAATGGCAGTCAGGTACGATTAGTCCTGCTACCATCAAAAAAACAAAGACGTAAGACACGAGTTCGACAAGGGACATCTCCGCAATACATGGAGAGTTTTTTGCTTCCTCGTGTAAATCCAGAGGATGTAAATGCAATGGGAGTACGGCTCAGAGTATATCTGTGGGGTGGCAGAATGATGCGTCGGGAAAGACTGCTGGGCGAAGCCAGAGTGTCTTTCGATCACATTAATCTCCAGTTGGAAACGACCCTATGGTTAACTCTTCAACCCCCACTTTCTTCCTCGGTAAGTTTTTCTAAAAGTCTGTACAATCATTATTAACAACGTGTCCAGCGTTCTTTGACCGCTGGAAAATTTCTGGAAAACCCTTGAATTTTCAGGGCTGGCCTGGAAGGAATTTATCATTCTTTCATTCTAAAAAAGTCAGAGCGTAAAAAAAAAAGAAATAATAAAAATAAAAGTTGTGTTTGGACATAAATCCTTCATTAAAGGTACAATAAGTTAATATACTTATAACCACAATAGAAAACTTGAATTTAATATCTAAAATAGAACAGAGTAGAAAAATCGTTCGTATTAACGGAACGTTCGTTTAATATTATTTATAAAGCAGTAAATATTGTTCCCAATTTGTTAGCGTTTTAATTCATTCGTATAGAATCTTAACCTGAATACGAAGCACATAATATTGCACGAATCGATGAAAATTAATTAAATAATGAAAATTAATCGATGGATAAATTCTGGAAAAATCAGGATTTTCCTGGAATATCCCGGAATTATCCTTGAATTGACTAGATTTTGCTGGGCACCATGTAAAAATATTATTACTGATACCTCTTTTAGTAATGTGTAATGTATTTAGAAATAGTGTAATTTGCCAAGATGGAAATTGTGTTACACTTTCTAGGCACAGGATTGGGGAACCACCAGCAGTCTAACTCGTAGCGATTCCACGGGATCCCAACAGTCGGTCCAATCGTATGCTTCTCCGGCTGTACCACCTTACGGCAGCAGCATGAAGGGAGGCAGTGTTGCTGAAATCCTAATCGGTTTGGCGTACAACGGCACGACAGGTCGCTTATCAGTTGAAATAATCAAGGGTTCCCATTTCCGTGGTGGAGGCGGAAACGATACGAAACCTCCTGATACTTACGTCAAATTGGCTCTTGTTGATACCAATAATCATGAAATGGGCCGATCTAAGACCGGTTTGAAACGTGCCCAACCGAATCCCCTCTATAAGGAGACTTTTATATTTCAGGTAGCTTTTTTATGAAAACCTCCGATTTTCTTATTTCTTGATCCTTTAGCTGTGACGCGCTTTAAATAAAAATCATGACTTTACAATAATTACGAATTGATTCATGAAGGCATTTATTTACGCAGGTAACAAAATGCTAAAGCACATCAACAAATTCGATCATGAGACTATAGAGATTCCTTTTTGAGTTTGATTATTATGACTTGCTATAGTATATTACAACAGAAATATAGTAGAAGTGGAACATACTTTGCCATTGATGTGATAATGTAGGGCCTAGAACAACTTGTGTCATTAAATGGAAAGTATTCACATACTCTTATATATATATATACATATATATACTGTTTACAGTTAAAGGGTTAACGAAAGTTTCATAGTTTCTATAGTATTTAAAATATAATTATATTAAATAATATGTGGCTTTTTTGAACAGGTCGCGTTGTTTCAATTGGGAGACGTGACACTCTACCTCTCTGTATACAATCGTCGACGAGGTGGAATGGGTAGGAAAGGGCGAGAAATGATCGGCTGGCTTTGTTTGGGTCTGAATAGCTCCGGATCTGAGGAGCTACAGCATTGGAACGATATGCGGATAGCGAGACAACCGATACAAGTGCAACGCTGGCATTCGCTATTGCGTCCTTGAGGTGTCTTCGTGTGAGTGTCTCTCATGGATTCATTCTTGATGCAGTTATTTGGACGCGAAACGATTTCATCGGTACTCGCCGAGGAGTACGGGAAATAGATGGGCGTTTCTAGAAAAGAACAACTGTTCGCGGCAGGCTTTATCTCGAGAGAGATTTAAAGATTCTTTCTCCTTATCTCATGGAGACACACTGTGTACTGCCTGGTTGAAAAACGGAAGTCAATATTCCAATCGGTCTGTCAATTTCAAATCAGAGCACGAACAATACAAGAGAGTGTCCAGATAGCATACAAGCGTTCTTAATTTCCATGTCTATATAAATGAACAAATGACAAATATAATAATGACAACACAAAATTCAAAAAATATCTTAATGTTAGAGCTCTGTTAGACAAATAGCAGTGTCTAAATGACATTCTAAAAATCCAAGAGATGCCTCTGACTTTCAGTCGAATTTTAAATTGGAACTTTAGAAACTTGCCAGGCTTTTGTTTTGTTCGGGATGCTCTGTTTGGAATACTGTAAACTCTGAGTTACAAACTCTTGTCTAAATGTACCAAGTACATTTCCTTTTTGATACGCTAATGGGAGCAGTGTGGCTAGTCTTCGATGTTGAGGGTCCCGACGATCGCGTGATCGTTGTCCCGGCGTTTATCGACGTTCCGGCCCAAACGTACCTGTCCTGTCACATGGTACGATGCTCTCCGACTCGACATGTGCCTGAGCCAATCTGAATCATTTATTTTTTACTTTGTGCCTTTCACCCTTTTTATGCCGCGCACCACGCTAAATGGAGGTTTGTCGTAAGCGGAATTTCAATGTCTGAAACGACGTTACTTCGAAAACTGAGATAGTTACATTTCTTGACTTCATAATACATATTTTAAGATGCAGGGTGGTTACGCGATAGAAGATCCGGGATTCTCCAATCGTTTTCAATGTACTCTGAGAATCCGGAAAATATTCTCGCGTGGATTGGAAACGCTCTAGAAAAATTAACAGAGTTTTTCCTTAATTGTTAAAATGCAGGAAGAGCCAAAAGTTCCTGTGATTTAGTAAAAATATTGAAAATCGAGCTCTCTCGATTTTATTTGTATCAAAGCCTAAAAAAAAGTTACTTAAATCTTCAGAGATTTAATAGAAAATTAAAGTTAAGTACTTCAATGTAGGAAACATGGTTGAAATGTTTCCTTGGAAAACAAAGTTTCTCTTAATTGACAAATTTGAGAATTTGAGAAAATGTGATTCGTGTGTCCACCCTGAGGTAGGGTAACATCGACACAATGAATTACTATTGTAAATGATTACTATTGTGAATGCTTGTTGTTTGTAGAGCTGTTTTGTAGCTGTTGTGAATAGAACAACAACGGAATTGTCGATATACGTTTTAATGTTTGCTTTTTCAATTATAACAGCTATCCTCTAAATAAATATTAATTAATACAATATTGAGGTAATAAACAGAACATTCGAAAGTGAACTCTTGTTCGACAACTGTGAGATTGACAACGCAAGTTTCTTATTTGTAAGTTTTTTCAATTTTTGAGATTAAAATCTTTTAATTTTTCTCTCTTTTAAATTCTCTCTATTAAATTCAAATATAGAAATATTTCTAAAGTAATCTTTTTTCTAGAATATGTGTATTTTATTTAAAAATGTGATAATTGTTTTTACTATATAATTTTCAATTAAAATTATTAAAACTATGAAAAAAATTAATTTTTCTATGTTAAAGAATTGAATATTCTAATTTAAATCGTTTTTCTGTATAATATCAAATGAAAGTATTATCCATTTTGTAACCATATCACATGTATCTCAACACGTTGCTCTTCAAATCATAAATCGTTATTACTATTTCGTCATTGTGTCGATATTAATCTATCTTACCGTATATAATTGTATATTCGATCCCGATATCCGATCTACTTGTGTTTATTCATATGAATCAATGTGGCGAATATCGGGCCCGTGTTCTCGCATGCATTTAACACTGAATATAGCCATCCGATTTTTCTTTATCGATTAGTCTTATTACGCAGTTCAACAAAAAATATTCTCAGAAAAGGAAATTTTATTTCTTATATTTTTGTCATTATTTTCTTATATTCATGTCAAAGTTAAGAAACTTAAGATCAATTTAATAAAAGAGAATTTTTTAGTAAAATTTTGTTATAATTGCCGAATATAATTTGCTAAAAAAAATTTTCTCTTCAAAATTAAGGCAGATTTTGCTAATTAATAATTTCACTGTAACAATTAATGGATATCCCAATATTTAATGGAAGTATTCTGGTTACAAAAAATTCTTATCTCATAATATTATTAAGAATTTTCTATATTTTATAAAAATTTCTGAAGAAATACTTCTTAAATTTCTTCAGAATATCAGTTTCTTCAGAAATTATAGAATGAGAAAACTTATATTATTTCAAAATTCGCGCGCGCGCATAAATAAAAAATTCTAGAAAAATATAAACTAAAGATTGAAAGTTCTAACAATAACTGAACGGATATAACCATTTCGAACAAATTACATGCTATAACTATATCATATAAAATTTATAGAAATACTTTTTTTTACATCTTTGTGTTATACTTCACAGCTCACATATCTCAAAATTGACATCGACAAGATATTACGGAAATAAGAAATGTAATTTGAAAGAAAAAACTATGGGAATAATTACATTCTTATCTTTGAATTTGACAATTAAAATTAATTTTTGTTGAACTGTGTTATTGTAACTTGGGCATGCATGAATGAAACGTAGATGTCTAGTAATAATGAACTTTAAAATGAACGAAAAATATCTGATGAACTTAGTCTATTGCTTAGATGATAACTTAAGCTTAAAATTAGAATCTGACACCAAGATTGATCACAAAAAGAGTGAAAAAAAATTTATTACTATTGAATTGTTAATAAATTTATATTAACTGATATTACTGGACAAAATTTACATCACACGTATTCGTTGAGGTGCTTATAAATAATATGTATATCTACGCACTTATTTATATGCAATAGTTTTTTTTTTATGACTACTTATCTGGTTTTCTAGTTTTTAACTTATAACTGGTATCTCACGTTCCCTTCAGGTATGCTTGAAAAAGAAAGAATTTGGATGGATTAGCAGCAAATATAATAATAAGATAAGATTTAGGACACGGGCATTGGTGTCTTCAGATGGTTCGAGAATGGATTGATACATGCGAGAGCCGACAACTATCACCGCAACGTGGTAGCGGTTTATAGAAAGATTTCTCGGATCGATTGAGATGGGACACGAGACCAACAGTTTGACAATTCAATGACGCACAATGACTCGCAAAATGCACTTCGTAAATGCAAATGTGATTGTAGAGTCGATATACTATAATTGAAATAGAAACATACACGATCACGAGTATGCTAGAAACATGGCATAATCTATGCGTTAATATTAGAATTTTTGAGCAAGGGGTTCCATCGTCAATAGCTATATTAGAGAAACACAGAAGTAGAGGATATGATTAAAGATGCGATAAATTTATGCCTACAATTAGATCAGGAGAGAGAAACTGATTTAATATAAAAATACACAAAAATATTGAAAAACTACTATACTATTTTTTCTTTTTTTTTAAACAAATTTTTCGACTAATTAAATATGTACTTCTTTTAACAAATATTTGAGTTTTGCCTTTTTTATATCTTCATAACTTTTATTATTATTATCTTATAATTAATATTATATTAAAGATTATTTCCATTGAAACGAAAAACAAATCTAGTTACATTTATGGAATTTTATTCACAAAAGAACGTTTATTTTAAATCGTTTTAAATCGAATATAATTTTTTGAGCATTTTATATTAATAAAATTATTTAAATTATGGAATCAATATAGAGATATAAAATTTATTAATGATAAAATTTGGTTTAATTAAGATATATTAACTTTATATATGCACTCTATTTTTATTTTGATTAATTCTTTATGCTTTACATTGAAAACTATAAAAAGTTTTCTTAATTATCTGAGAAGCGTGATTAGCAGTTTGATATTGTCATTAAAATATAAAGACCCATAGTAATAATGTGGAAAGTAGCCTTAGACCAAAGGATCGTTAGGGGACCCCTAAATGTCAGCGGACAAAGCCAGCGACTGATTAATGGACAAACAGATGCTGTGAATCATTTAACGCTTGACTTTTTCAAGCCTCTAGTAGTAAATCTTCATCACGATTACATATTAATCCATGCTCGAACTATTTTATCATTTACATTTTAGGAATAAAATAATTGCAGGGACTCAGAAATCTCCTTTAGGACATAAACAATTGTTTGTCGTACAATGTACGCCCTCTTTTTATGTACAATATGTGCGCTAGATGTGCGTTGTGAAGAGAACTAATATTGTAAACAAAGAATTTACAATATGAGAATTTAAAACATCTTAAGCATGCAGTGTCTGCGATTCTAACAAAATTATCTTTTATTTATAGATCCAGTGATTAAACTAGTTTTTTCACAAAGCATGCAAATATCTCTACCTCCGACTTTGATGGCCGTGGATATGTTGTGGAGCAGTTAAAAAAATGAGGGGGATATTTTTATTAAAATTTACATTGCCTGTTTGCAGGTAAATTTAATTCTGAACATCAAAATTGTAAGGTATGTAAAAAGATAACCGAGATGAATGGTATTTGTATCTTGTTATATGATATCATCATAAATCATTTATACAGGATATTCGAAGAAAGGGTCTCAAACTTGAAGGATGTTCACTAGAGAAACAAGAAATGATTATCATAGTTTAAAAAAATTAACTTTATGTCATAGATAGACACGATTTCTTGTTTTGACAATATAGATGATTCACGTTTTATTTTATATAGGTAGCCAGATATTGCTTTTTACTTAAATTGATCCTTGTTATTCTATATATAAAATAGTCACATAAAGCATTATTAATTTAGAAAGCAAAACATAGTAATAATTTATTGGCGACTTAGACAGAATATTGGCACTTATTGTGTCTATTAATCTTGCTTTGATATATATGACATATTCTTAAAAATATGAGAATTTTTTTTATCGAATACTCCAAAATAAAATTTTGGACCCTTTTCAATTTGTACAAATCACTTCAATTTGTACAGATCATTAATATTTTTGGCAGTATTATTATTTTCCTTAAAAGATTTCCCACGTATTTTCTATAGTATAAAGAAAACGGGCTAAATGGGAAAATCTCAATCAGATGTTTAAAGTATATTACAGTTATATAAATGTAGAATGGGTTAAAACGCCACCCCATTTAAATTAAATGTGTGCGTGCGTGCGTGTAACATGTGAATATCATATATTATATATATAAGTACACGCGTAACACGATTTGTTTCGTGCATACTTAGCTGATATTATTAGAGTATTTCTGAGTCCTAGCGATATACTATCGTATAATGTACAGTCTGTTTATAAACGGCACGATGCTAAAGAGGTGATAAGCGTTTAAATATTTAAAATCAATTTACGATGTAGCGATGTTATATCAATCTCTCGATTTGAAGATTAATATCATTCGTTTTCTATAACACGAACTGGAATTAGGGAATTCCAAGAATTCCAGTCAGCACACGAGTGACATACATACGTTTAATTAGCGAGTAGTTTTTTAACTTTTACGTCTTTTACTCTTTCAAGTAAATAACAATATAATGTAATTACGATAACGTTACTCTTGCCATGTTTTTCACTTTGTGTGATAAGCTGTTGGATATGTAGGAAGCGACCAGACTAGTTCCAATTTATATTTTTACTACAAAGAGATCATCAGGATTCTCTTTGAGAATGCAGATGAATTTTCACGAAAAATATATCTTTTCTTTCTTTTTTTTTTAAGCAAGATTATTGTGTTTCTTATAATTTAACATTCGGAGATTAATGATTACGGAAGTTAAGGTTAGTTATAAAAATGGGCTGTGAATTCGTTGGATACGTCATTAAATTTTATATCAGTTATCATTCTTTATTTGTAATATTTGCAACCGAAGCGGAATTGTTTTGAGAACGATTAAGATCTTTATAAATTCGGACATATGAAGTAAATTTTTTCCTGTTTTTAAATCCATTCTAGAGTTTTACGATCATGTTGATTAGATAGAAGTTATTCATTAATAGATGTTTGTTATATCGAGAGGATAAAAGAGCCAAAGTCAAATTGAAGAACACATGACTTTGCAACATTCCAACGATACATTTCAAAAACGAGAACATGCGATATCTAGATTTTCTTACAAAATATACGTATGCCGTATCTACTCTGTTATTCTATTTTATTGTAGAACAACCATTATTCTCTGTTGCGAAAAATAATGGAAGAAGTGTCATATATCGCGATGATTATAAACAGACTATCCTTGGATTTTTATCTATATTTTCATCTACGGCACCCGTTTCTCTTGATAAGCATTCGAGTTTGAATGTCTACTGCACAAACTAATTATCTTAATCAATGTTATTACATGCTTATAAATTATTATAATAATAATTAAAAAATATTAATAAGGCTCTGTACGTATAAAACAAAGTAGTATACAAAAAGGGCAAAGAGCCAATAATGTATAAAAGAATTTTAATTTAAATAAGCAAAATTCATACAAAATTATAATAAACAAACGTTTCAACTCCAATCGAGTCATTTTCAATGTAATCTTAAAATATATAAACATCGTTCTAAATTAGAAATATGCACATAGTCTTACAATATTATTATAATTTCTTAATTAAATTTTTCATTTTGTGTAGTACTACTAAGCTATTTTATTATCGATACGTTGATGATATTATCTTAGCTGTTCCGTCTGAGAATGTTGGTGATATTTTGGATATTTTTAATTTGTTGCACACTAGACTAGTTCACTATGGAGGTTGGCTTTGATGGAAAAATAAGTTTTTTGGATACTACTATGTTGGTTATTGAAGAACGGAATCTTATTTTTGATATATACCATAAAGCAATCTTTTCCGGTAGATTTCTTAATTTCCATTCACACCATCCACTTTGTCATAAAAGAGATGTAATTTATGGAGTTGTGGACAAAGTTTTTTGCTTGTGTCATCTGAAATTCCAACGAAATAATTTGATTGACATTATTAATATTTTTTTACAAAATGTATCCGTTACATTTTATTTTCTCGATTCATAATAGAATTAAATATCACATTAACAAGATTAATAATTTGAATAAGAATAAGGATGACACAAGGAGATTTTTTACGATTCCATATGTCAATACGATATCCGAAAGATTTATACCTATTGTTAACATGTTTAATTGTAAATTGGCTTTTACCATTCCTAACACATTAAGAAGTTTTATAAAGAGAGGAAAGGATGATCTGGAACACGTTCAGAATCAAAATGTAGTCTACAAAATATTTTGTGAGGATTGTTGAGGTTGTTAGTTATGTTGGCCAAACAAAAAGACAACTAAAGACCAGATTGCATGAACATGTTTCGGATATCAATATAAGATTCAAAATCTCCATCAGTGATTTCCAATCATATTGAGGAGAGTCATAAATTTAAATGGGATAAAGTAGACATGTTAGATATAGAGCCTTCATATAATAAAAGGTTGATATCTGAAATAGTCCATATTAAAAAACAGAAACATGGAATAAATAGACAAAATGATACAGAGTCTTTGCCGGAATTGTATTTTGACATTATACATTCTCTTTCTCCTTCCTAATATTTCTTCTCTCTTTTCTCCCCTATTTTGCCGTTTTCCATTCTCGATAATGTTTTTCTTCTTGACATTTCGTTATTTGACATCGTGTAAGTTAGATGCTTGTTACCTTTGCAAATTTGCTTAAAATAATTTGAATAAGAAGACTATTATATTGTACCATGAAATGGACTACAATCTACATGCGTTTTTTTCTCTTTGTTTACTAATGTTCTTAACACATTTACCAAGGTACATTATCATATTATTAATTTTTATGTAATTAATATTAATTCTTTTTATTCACGGTTACTTTTCCAGAATTTTCTTATGACTATGTTAATTCTTGATAAAAATGACTCACAGCGTATTACATAAAATGAAAAATTTAATATTAAGGAATTATAATAATATTGTAAGACCATGTGCATATTTTTAATTTAGAACGATGTTTATATATTTTAAGATTACATTGAAAATGACTCGATTGGAGTTGAAACATTGGTTTATTATAATTGTTTTGTATATTTTGCTTATTTAAATTAAGATTCTTTTATACATTATTAGCTCTTTGCCCTTCTTGTGTATTACTTTGTTTAATAATAATTATTATATTCATCGCGTTTTATAAAAATGTATTCTAATATAATTAAATATAATAATAAATTTATCAATAGTTAATATCGCAATCGATATTCCAGTCTGTACAATTTCAAACACAATGTCGCACCTGGACTATCAGTCTAGTCCGTACTTTTCCAGCAGCTCTTTCTTCTTTCTAACCAGCAAAGCCTCTTGAATATCCTGCTGCGAAGGAATCAATTTTTGTGCCGTTGTCTCAATCTCGATTTCCGGTTCTTTCTCGTGAGCTACCCATTCGTTAATGCACTTTTCTCTCGCTTCTTGCTCGGCCTTCTGTTCCAACGGTATCAGAATACCATCGTCGTCGTCCATATAACCGTAATAGTCCGCGTCGATGTCCTTCATCAATTCTGCGCGAGTTTTACGAGGCGGCGGTGGTGGCTCCTGCTCAAATAATTCTCTAACACCCGGTAATTCTTTAGCAGCTCCGAAATACTTGTAACCTCGATTACCGGGAACCTGTAATTTCATTGAGATACATAAATATTTAATATATTTTTGGATGTTTACTGCCTGGAAAATCTTGAACTCTAATTTATTTCAAAGTTACATTTAAGGGGTCTGACCGGTGTGACCGACTACTGAAAAATAAATCATTTTTAAAAGTGGATTAGCGAAGAAATAAAGAAGCTGTAGAATTGTGGTTTGGTACTTTTTTCAAGTACACGTTGAAAGAAATATTTCAAAATGAGAGAAAAAATAATCTTAATATATATCATATAAAGATTATGTGTTTTTCGCGGATTTCCTTCGTATCTAGATCCATTCTTGGAATGCCAACGTTTCGTGAATCCACTTGCAATCCACTTCATGGAGGCGAAGAACGGCTTGATACTAAGCTCAGTTTTCGAAGCACAATAAATGTTTGTATTAATGTCCTGGTAAACCATTTTAGTAAACATTCTTGAAAGATACATGCAAAACTTTCTTATGTCCTCATAATCAATATCGAGAAGTCTTCGAAAGAATACGATTTGTCTGTTAATTACGTACGCGTTTTGTATGAATGGACAAAAATTAATATATCGTGATTCACAATTATCACCAATTTAAATCCAAATTCGCAAATACTTGATTCTGATCTTGTAAAGCAGAGAAAATCACATTTCTATTACACATTTTGCACTTCACTGTTTCACCAATATTGGAAAACATCGCTAAAAAATTGATAATACGATAACCATGCATCGCATTTATCGGTACTTCCGCATAACAACTTTTTAGTTTTTTCGTGGATACACTTGTAAAAGCAGTTTCGCGTTCGAATTAATGACAATTAAGTGATTTCGGTCTTTTTTTTCAGTTTACTTGCGCGTTCTAATATTATCCTTGAACTCTTTCTATTAATTTTTTTCGGCTCTTCATATTTGAAATTGATATTCTGAACAAAGTTTCACAAATTAACACGTGCTACGAACATCAGATGATTGATTAACGATTTTTCAGCTTTATATAGCTTAAAATGTGTTAGAAAGAAGAAGGATATACAATATTATCATTCTGACCTGCCTTCCAGACAGTACACAATATTTATAAAACATTTATAAATATTTATAAAGCTTATTTTAAATATTTTGTAAATATTTTTGTGATCTTAGATTGCTAGATAGATCATAAACATTTGTTATAAATATTATGAATATTTATTGTAAATTTTGTAGTAAATGCTGGAAATACGTAATAAGACATTATAATTCAAATAAAAAAAATACCAGAAATATTTATTTACATTTATCATAAATGTTATCAAATATTTAGTCTATCTTTTAATAATATTCCGAATTAAGCTTTACATAAAATATGTATAAAATATTTATACAACATTTAAAGAAATGAGTAATAAAAATATTTATTATAAATATTCTCTGTGCTTTCTGGATTTATAAGCGGTTGTACCTGCTGTAGGCTTTGTAACTCGAAAACTAATTCGAATTTATACTTAGGACCTTTTATTCTTTATTCTACAAGCTTCAAACTAATTTTTAAAGCAAAAAAAAATTGTTTTTGATTTTTTAAAAATTTTACACCGATCTTATGTAGAATTTTGAATGAAAATACCTTGAAAAAAGTCTGAAAATTCTCAGGAAATTTATTTATTTTATAAGATTTCAGTAAATATCCTGATAAACATTTAATCGAACTTCTGATATTCTGTAAATATTATAAAAAATATTATCTACGATTTTACCTCACGTCCCTCATGATCCAACATGCGAGGTCCGACTCTGGAGTAATCAGGTCCACCAAGCTCCTTTATTTGTGCTTCCCAATGTCGCTTCTCTCTGAGCAGCTTATTAATCTCGTCATTTAGATCACGAATGCGGAACTCTCCAAGCCCGGCATTTTGAATCTGGGCGACTTTCTTTGCAATCTCTCTAATTATTTGCATTCGCCATTTCTCTGCTTTACGTAAGTCTCTACATTCTGAAGCTAAATAAGGCCTCCGTTCCTGTTCTTTCCTTGTTCCTTCGTTGTTTTGCGCTGCTCTCCAACGAGCAAGCGTTGTCCTAAAAATATCAACATTAAATACATTAATTATATCAATATGATAATATTGATTTTAACATTTTAATTAGTTGGATTAAAACTTCTCACAGTAAAAATAGGTGTGTAATAGGTTTATGGAACAGATGATGTTATAAACTATACTTACATAGCCTTCTCTGCATTTCGCGCCTAAGAAAAAACAAAGCGTTTATTAATAAAGTAAAAAAATATCTATCTAGTAAAATATATAAGACGTAATATTGGGTCATCTAAAAAGTATCCACAGTACTTTGTCACTAGATATATGACCATCAACACACTAGTGACAAAAAACCGCGGATACTTTTTAGATGACCCAATATATATTACAGATACTTACCATCTTTTGTTTATGCTTTTATACAAATTCGTTTAAACATTAATTATTCATAAGTATTTATCACTATTGACATGATTGATTGCTCCCCGATTGATTAGTATTTAACAATGGCACTACAAGGGAAAACAAAATGCAGCCTTATAATAAAACTAATTATTATATTTTAACAAATGTGATTTTAATGATTTATAGTAGAATATATATATATATAGGATTTTTTTAAATTCAATGTTTTTAAAATATTATCATTATCACTTTATCATTTTATTCTGAACAATCATAGAAAAATACGTTTCAACATATTACATTTTTATTGATATTTATATATATGTATGTATCATAATAATATTAATTATTAAAATTAATCATGTTTTTGCAGATTTCAAGTAAAAAATTAATTATCTGAATTAAATATCTAAATTATATTTGCAGATATTTTGTGAGGTTAAGTTACGTACACAGAATAGTGAATTATATCAATGTTCCATCAGAGAGAAACCTGAGAGAGGACGTGACGGCCTAAAACCTGTGACCGCTGCCGCGCACTACTGCCCTCTGATAAATTGGATGTAAACTACATAGCAACATCCACTTCTCTTATAGTACATCGTCCACTTTTTAAAATGGACGATATACCATAAGAGAAATGGACGTTGCATATAGTTTACATCCACTTTGTCAGAGGGCAGTAGTACGCAGCAGCATTTTGCGGTTACAGGTTTTGGGCCGTTCTGTCCTCTCTCAGATTTCTCTCTGGTTCCATACTTATACACATTGAAGACTAATAAATACGTGGACTATTAAATACATGAAATTATTTGTTTTTCATTTTTTTGTGAATTTTCGATCCTCAAAATCGCAATATACTACATAAAATTATTTAAAAGACCAAGATTGATATGTAACTCTATCACTTAAGACCTTACGTGATGAACGTCTGAAGCTGTATTAAAAGTGCACCAAACTGCACTCAGGTGTACAGTTCGCGCGGGTAAATATGAAATATTGTTCTCATTTAATTTCAATTTTTCTGTAATTTTGTACGTTTTTATCTGTAGACTATTCCGAGAAGGAAAATCGAAATAGCGTTATATATTTATTTACGTTTTATCTAAATAAATATTTTTCCTCCTTTATTTCATAGCGTTTCGCTTATTAATTTTATATATTTTGATAATGTCCTGGATAACATTTGTTAAGATCAAGGTCACTGGAGATTGTTTCTCTTATTTTCTTTTTTACATAAAAATGAATTTTCAGTGCAAAAATGAAAATAAGAGAAACAATCACCAATGACCTTAATCTTAACAAATTTTAAAAAATGTATTATTATATACTTTAAAACAGGATCTACTGGATTAGATTATAAAAGAAAAATTAATTATTTTATATTGACAATAGAAACAGTCCACATAAAGTGAGATATTATGTGAAAATGTATGTAAATATATGCAACTAATATCGAGATCTTCTGTTCTCATTTCTGTTAAAGTTACTTCCTGTTTTCTAGATACAGAGACAATTTAATAAAGATAAAGAAGAAGAGAAATGACAATTCGATTTAACAAATTTTTTAAGTAAAAATTTAATTTGTCATAAAATATTTTCCAAACAACAACAGCATGTAACAACCAGAGTAACATTAAGAAACCCAAATCATTAAGATTCAAACAATTGTATTAAATTTAAAATAATTTCAGATTAATTCTCGTCTAAACAAAATTCCAATTGCGTGTGCATAGAATTAAAATCTCTTTTGAGTAACTTTAATATATATTAATAACTAATTATGTACCTGTACACAATGATTTGTAATTACATTACATTGCATTGTGTACATTGTTAATAAATTAAATAACTGTGAAAATTAAAATTAAAATTAGAACAAGTTTGTTTGTTGCGATATGTATACATCACGTATTAAAGTCCATTTCTTGTTATTAAGAAATTTCAAATAAATTAAAAACCCTTATTTACTCCTAGCTTTACACATTTGTTTTTTGCACGCATGATATACACACTGGAATTCCTAGGACCCCATATTTGTTTACCGTAACTTTCGTAAAAATGAATATATTTCAATTAATTTTTTTTTTCAATCGATGAAGAATTAAGGAACAAGCCCATAATGTGTAAAAATCAAGAATTAAGAAACTTCGAGATGTGTAGTTTCAAAGAAAAAGAAAAATTTAGAAACGCGAAAAAAATCTTGATTTAGAAAGTTGCGCTGGGGACCCTATTGTGTGCAGCTAGGATTAAAACTTAGGCTCTATTCAAATTTAACTAACTACGATAGGTTCCATCAATGAGTAATTCGTGAGCTTCATAAATTTCTAGCTCTAGTCAGACGTAAGTATGCAATGCAGAGATGTGCAATTTTTAATTAATTATACAAGATGACAAAAAAGTTCAGTCACGAAGTTTTGTATTATAAGTTATTATTAATTTATAAAAAAACTCTGGAGTGCTATATCTTATTAAATATCAAAAATAATAATTAATATCATGACTTCTTTATTTTTTATATAAACGCTTCGAGAAGGCATCATGCCGCGCATTTTTTCTTGAATAAATTCCGAGCAGTCAATAAAGTAATCTTCAATTCATCAACCGAAATTTTTTGATGCAAAATCTTTTTGATATTTAATAACACAAGTAACTTCAAAGTTTGTGTTTTTAAATACGTTCCTACTTAAACAATAAGTTATTCGTTGTTATATTGGCATTAAAATGATGCTTTTAAAATGCCACTTTGATGCCGAAAAGAAAATAGCCGCAAAGTTTTGTACATTTATTAAATTATTACTTGGGTAACACACATAAATCTTTGTGGTCATTTTTTTGCCATCCTGTATTACGAAATGTATTTGAAAGCTCGTAATTCAGCAGTACAAGAATCGGGCTAACATATTCTTGTAATGAATACTGCAGAAAAAATAATTTATTACAATCATATATATATATATATATACACATATATCCCTTCTTTTTTAAAAATTAATTAAACACCCATACTCCAATTAATTGACAATATTCTTGCATAATCATGTCTAATTGAATCGGAGATAGTGCAACACTTATATTTGATTATATAAATTAAAGTTGCTTCTAGTGATCTTCCGACTCACAAATTAAGCTCACGAATTCGTGATGAAAACGGCGAACAGTATGAGAAATACGAACGAATAAACTTTATCAACGAGTCAACAACGCTTACATACAATTAGATCCCAATCGATCACGATTGGGTTTTGGTAAAAAAAATCCGTTCTGCCTTCACGCAACGACTCGCGGAACGTGTACGCATAAACATACAGAGACTTTCGCGTGAAGGTTTCAACACGGCGACCGTTCGTGAAAATAACGAATCCTCCAGTCTTCACGAACAATCTACGTAGGCTTACGACAAGCTTATGACGAGCTTACGGAACGCGCTACGATTCTGCGACTAGAATCAAATTGCAATAATTGACTTCAGTCGGTGTCATCCACGCCGGAGGGGCGCGCGACGACGGGAAGCGGAGTCGGCGGTGGTGGCGGCGTTGGGGCCGTAAATTCTTCCTCCTCGATCTCCTCCTCGCCGAGGAGGAAGTTCTCGTGCACCTCCTCCTCTCGCGCTGGCTCCGGTAGCGCCAGCACGTCTTGGCCGTGCTGCTTCAGGTGGTCCTTGAGGGCGAACGCCCGACCGTACGACGCGCCGCATACATAGCAGCTAAACTTGAGATTGTTGTCTTTTTTATGAGTCTGGATGTGCGCGCGGACGGCATAGAGTGATGCAAACGGCCGCGAGCACTCGGTGCACCGGAATGGCTTCGTGTGGCTATTCTTGTGACCGGCCAGCTGTACCCGCGTTTTGAACGTCTTTGGGCAGTATGGACATGTGTAGGCACGTTCCTCGCCGTGCGTCAGCAGGTGATGATTGTAAACGGAGGATGCCTTGAAGCGCTTTCCGCAATGCTGACAAGCGTAAGGCCTCACGCCTGTATGTGTACGCATGTGAAGGGTCAGACAGTAGGACACACGAAAGGTTTTGCCACAAACCTATCAGTTTAACAAGAATAAAAATTAACTGTAATTAAAAACAAATGAGGAAGATGAGATTCATTTTAAGCTACAGCATTTTTACATAAAAAGTTTTAGTTTATCAAAGATTGTGATTATACATCTATTCAGGGGAAAGATTTGGAAGGTTCAACTCCTTTTCCAAAAAATTATGATTAAAAGTTATGATTATGTAATAAAATTTAAAATTTTTTCCAAGAGATAATTTTTAAAAAACAAGATAAAATAAGAAAATTTTTATTCAAACTACAAAATTGTATTGTTAAATATAATTACCTACTGATCTTGTTAAATTATTTTATATGAATATAACATTCATTTTTATACGGAAAGTACAAATCTACACTTCCAGTCACTTTTTGCAGAGATTCCCTGATGAAAATTTTTCTTATAATTTTTTAATACAAATTGGAACATTTTTCAGAAATATTCAGAAAATTTACATCTTCTCTCAGAATTTTTCATATATATGAATTTATTTTTCATATATCTGAAATATTTTTCCTTATCCCATAATTTTTAAAAAATATTTTTAAATTTTTTAAATTTTATAACATTTTATCAGAAATTATACTTACAAAAAAATTTTAGAAATCTTATGATATTTCATAATTAACATATATGGCAAATTTTGAGAAAAGATGTAAATTTTCTGAGAAGTGTTTCAATTTATATTAAAAAACTGAGAGAAAATTATAAAATTGTATAGAAATTCTGAAAAATTACATGAAAAATTCTGAGAAAAATTTTAACCTGGATTACAACTGACATTCTTAACAAGACCTAATTTCACGATTATCTACCTCACAAGCATGCGGCTTCTCCCCAGTGTGAATTCGTTCGTGCTTGACTTTCTCATGTGGTCTGGTGAACCTGCGACCGCAATGCTGGCACTGATAGGGTTTCTGACTGTCGCCAGGATCTGCCGTTGTCACCGTCGTCGTCGCTGTCGTTACCGACGTAGTCGATGTCACGGCGATCGTCGATGCCATCGTCGTCGTCGACGTCACCGCTGACATCATCGCTGACGTCGTTGCCAATGTTGTTGCCTCCACGACGGATGAAAGTAAACTTTGTGGAGTGGGCGACCGCGAGGGTGTTTGCTCGACGTGTACCGCCGCGTGCATTGCTAGACTTTCCGCAGAATCGAACTTCCGGTTGCAAACGGTGCACGTCACTGAGTCGCCTGTATGCAACGCCATGTGTGCGTCTTTGTACGACTCGGAGAGCGTTTTGCCTATAAAGCATTATTAATATATTGAGAAAACAAAAGTAAAAACGCTTGATATTGTTTGTTATACAAAACGTATTGCTCAATTATTTTCATATCATTAGAAATAAAATCTTTTATATTTTTGTTTGAGAGCTCACATTAAATACTTTCACGCTTTCGTATATCCACTCACAAAAAAATTATGGTAATAGTAATTAGTGTCTTATTGTATTTTGAAATTTTAATTTTTTTTC